ATATATTCGTCTGCCTATAACGAAGTTGTCGGAAAAGATCCGATCATTCTGAATCCCTTGGGGTATTACTACAGATGATTTTCTTCATTCAGATGTTGACCATTCAGAGAGCAGTATTCGGGGTCATGTGATACCTTCACTTTAGTTTCGCTTTACCAATTCAGCCGGCACTAGTGCAATTATTAAAGCACAATCGTCTATCATTTTTTTTACATCAATTTGACAGAAATTTCCCATTATATTCGTAAAATGTGTCACTTAACCCCGAACACCGCACAGTGATCGGCCAAAATCAGGATGAAAAAAATTGTATGTGTTACACGTGCGTGTGAAAAAGTGCAACTTTACGCATTAGTAACACAATATACCGAGGATCTACTCACTCCCGCAATCATGGCGCCACTCTGTGAGGAAATCAATTTGAAATCACATTGAAATCATTGATTCACCGTAATCGGTGAAGTCAGGTGATTTCGGCACGCTGAAATCAGTTTTGAAATCATCTCGGAAATCATCTGGTGTGGTGAACTGGAAAATTTACATAACAAATTTAATTAATTATTAAATAAGTTATGAATAATCTTCTCGTTCTCATCAGGATAAAATAATATTTTTGTTTAGTGGATACGTTACTCTTTTAAGCGCTATTCGCATCTGCATCAGTCGTTCGGTTCTTCGATGGAAATAGTTGATTTTTGATAATTGAGATTTGTCAAATGATAATGTGAGGGAGTTTGAAATGAAAAGAGTGTCGTTGTAAACAACACGGATATCAATTTATTGCTAATACTAAAAGATATTTATAACAAAAGAAAAAGAACCCGAAAGAGAGAGAATTCTATTGAAGTTACATTTTTTTTTATAGATTTTGATTTGATTTTGATTTTTACGGAAAGTAAAGAGATGCCAAATAGAATAGGTCGTTCTATGAATTTTGTACGAACCAATAGTACAATGTGTCATTAGGACAGTAAGCGGCGCAAACCAACGCGACTGTCCGAATGACACATACTATTTTTCGTCACGATGGCCCGACACGGGGTTCAGGGGCGGGGTGGGGTGGGGGTGCAAAAACGGGGTCCAGGGAGCGGAGCCCCCCCCCCCATGAAAGAAAAACCAAATAAGTAAAAGAAAAAAAAAAGTGAAAAAAAGAATTTGAAATTGCTTTCAATAAAAACAAAAAGTAATAATATCTACTATTCCTTACGAATACCCAGAAAAACATGGACTAAAAAAAGTTGCATGAAGTGGAAGAATAAGGACGAGATTTTGGGGATGAAGAATAATAGTGCTTTTCTTTACTCGGTTCTTATCTTCAGGTCACAACTGCGTTTTTTTGGAGCGACATTATTCCGGAATAAAATTTATATATATATGTATATATTTCAATGTTATTACATACCTATATATATGAAAAAAAATGAACCAAGAAACACGCGAGATACTTTTTTCGGTTTAATATTAACCTGAGAAAAGAGACAAATTTTGTTCTGTAATAACGTTGCTCTGGAGAAACGCATTTATGTCCGTGAGATAATAACTGATAATAACCGAGTAAAGGAAAGCACTATAAGAATAATACTCAAAATCTCTACTGCTGTTATCAAATGTTTACTGAGAACGCCGCCAGCGCCGCTAAAATAAGTTACTAGGCCGCTCGAATTCACCAGAATTGAAGTCCAAGTGACAGCCATTTTTACCATATCGGCTCACTTCATGCTCCTCTCCATTGAGAATTGAGGTATTCCCTCTCTATATTTTATATGCTTTTATTGTCCTAGGAGAGGTAAATCTCACTTACGGTGCCTGTTCTATCTTTTATTGCCCTGTGTCACAAAGAGCCGCTTACCCCCCCCTCAACACAGTACCCGTAAGCGCCGCTTTCCGGGCCTCAATGACGAAAAATATTAAATAATCCAAAGTAGTTTTCAGGAGAATATGTTGAAAGTTTTTGTGTGTTTCACTCAAATTTAGATATATCTTAATTCACTTAATTCACTATGTTTTTAGTTTATTTCATTTCGATTTTGCGTGTCACTAAAAAGGGTGTCCAATTTATTGATCAGTTGTGTCCTTGCACTTTTATTTCACGAAAACAATTAAAGGTGGCTAATATCGATCTTGCGTCAAAATTATCACTACGAAGGTGTGCGTAATTGTAACAAATTTTGAATGACTTGAATTCTTTATCACTTGTACGTCGGGCAGATTATACATGTTTCCGAAGTTGCGAACGAGTGAGAATCCAAGGAGTCCTGTGTGTTTGACGTGCCTGTTTGGCATCTAAGACGGTACTGATTAATAATTCTGAAGGAATTATTTTAGTGGTCAAAAAGACAGTGCTGCATTCGTGCTGCATTCACAGTTTCGGAGTTTTCAGGGACACGCGTGGCGCGCTGGCCTGATGCATTGAACTGCTTCGACAGCAATTCAACGTCCGGTGGGCAACGAAAAAGTCCGAATTCTTGTGAGAATATAATTTTTAATAAAATAAATTTTTGAATTATTTCCAAACATGACATTGGAATCAATGAAAGGATTTGAAGTCAATGAATCAAAAATCCGAAATCACTTGCTTGAATTGGGTCACGAACATAATTTCGAGTTTCAAATTCGAAGATTCTACCAACGACAAACACCAAATCTCGCATTCACTCTCATATGATTATTCCTCAGAATCCCATATCTATTTGACAAAAATACTATTCATTCGCCAGTGGTGGCTCCACTGACGTTCCGAGATACTAGCGAGTGCGTGGTATAGAACGTGTGTGTGCTGAGTGTGATGCACGAAAACAAATTTAACTCCTTCGTTCCTCAATTACTTATTGATTGTGATTCAATGATATCATTACAACTGAAAGACTTGATTTCAATTTGTGAAATCATTTGAAGTCAGTTGAAGTTGCGAAATCAGGCCGTATGACACTTAAAATCATTAAAATCACATTCTTTTGAAATCATTGAAATCACAGGTCGAAATCACCTGAAATCAGGTGAAATCAATTCCATCTTTAAGTCATGGTGTCACTCAATCATGGAGTGAGTAGCCCCTCGCAATATACTATTTCGGAAATTCGACTTTGGCCTCTTAGAAATCGTATATGTGGCCACTGGCCAGAGTGAATTTAGATTTTTTTTATTTTGGGTTTTTTATTGGTTCTAGCGGTTTTGTTGCCATCTGGGAGGTGAAACAATGACGAATCCACCGGTATTTAATGGAAAAATCCATCCTCTCAAAATTTTTACTTCGGCCCCTTAGAAATCATAGATCGACATAGTGTCAGTATGTGACGCTATAAAAATTTTCATTTTGGGTTTCTTATCGGTTTTAGCGCTTTTGTTGTCATCTGGGCGGTGAAACAATGGCGATTCAACCAGCGTTTGATGGAAAAATACATACTTTCGAAAATTCTACTTTGGCCCCTTAGAAATCATCGATCTGGCAACTGGCAGGGGTGGAATTGTAATTTTTTAAATTTCGGGGTGTTCATTGGTTCTATCGGTTTTGTTGTCATCTGGGAGGTAAGAAAATGACGAATCAATTGACGTTTCATGGAAAAATGCATTTTTCCGGAAATTCGACTTTGACCCCTCAGAAATCATAGATCTGACCACTGGCGGGGGGTCAATTTTGAAATGTTCTATTTGGGGTTTTTCATTACCATGATGAATTATACATATGAGAATTGGACATTCCGGATCGTGGAATTGGAACACTCGGAATTAGACGTCTAAGAGTGGTGAATTGTACAATTCCCTGAACTCAACATTTCGATATTCATCCACCCAACTATGCACATTGTCCAGTTCCGAAGAGCATTGAAGCTAATATGTACAATAACTTTATGCGAATTCATTCATCTGTAAAATACAAAAATACTAATGTGCAAATCGCGAATGTCAAAGAAGTTACCGTGCATTCAGCATTCGTGCATTTTAAACGCACTAAAGCAACATTTCTCATTCTAACATGTAACCAGGGGTACGGCAGGTATACACAATGTAGTTGGTCGCTCGCGAGTTCGCTCCCATATGTGGGTGCATAAGCAGTGGTGAGTTCAAGTGAGCGTGACCCATTGACGGGGTCGCAACAACAACTTCCCGGTTTTTCTGGCTTTATGATGAAAAAAAAAACATTTTTCATCTCATGTTTTCCTGGAAAAACTGAACCGATTTGATCCAGAATCTAATCACGGGCAAGTTACACGAAGACGCAACGATTGCGTCATGGATAAGCTCGATCGCATCATCCGTCTGGGAGAAATCGTGGAGCAAAACTTATGTCACACACGTACATATTAACACACACACCACGAATCCCCTCAAAGAGGAACGCCTTTACTTGGAGAGGGCTTCAGCACGTTGTAAGACCATGCTACGTGGCGCGTCCCCAGGTTGCGGATCGGGGAAAGCTCACTGTTCTCACGGGCGGGGAGTAGGAATGAAATAAAATAGCTCCCGCGGACAAAAAACTCACCCCCAATGTTCAGGTGTTAAGATACCGTGCCCATAACTGGAAGACGTCGGGGTAGTGACGTTCTAAACGGTTGTATTTTTGTGGCCTTACTCCAGCAACCGGGGCTCTGCTGGAGTGGACCACCCTTTCCCTAGGTACGCGTGGGAACAAGATGGAAACAAAAGTAAACTTAAATAAAAAATGGAGAAAAGAAGCAGGACGAAGTGGCTCAAAACATTGAGCCGAGTGACGAGATCGCTCTTAAGATGAAGGTGGGATAGGCATGAACAACTCATTGTTGACCTGATAACCTACATGAAGGAAGAGGAGTATCAACTCTCAAGCCCGAGAGTTAGTGAACTCCCTCAGCACCTCCGCCAGGCGGCTCAGACAGCTCGGCGGACAAACAGGGCAGACTAGGCGATTGCCGGTGATGCTGGCATCCTTACTCTTAGGGCGAACGCGGATGCTCTCGGAAGGCACCGCGACGACGATCGACTCTGAGTTTGAAGAAGAGAGTTCAGCTCTCTCAGAAAAAAGCATGGCATCCAGGACGACACGGAAGTTGCGAGAGTCACCACCGACGGACACCAAGGATCCCAAGAAGAAGAAAAAAGATGAACTGAAGTTCGCTCACGCCCAGAGCAAGAAGGAGGAACCACCTGCAAAGTCCTCGGACTGGGAGTAGGTCAAGAGGAGGAGGGAGAGGCAGAAACCGGAGCTGCCGGAAAAGTCCAAAAAGAAGGAGAAGAAAAAGAAGATCCAGGGGAAAACAGCAGCAAGGCCAAACGCGCTGATTGTTCGTCCGAAGGACAAGAAGCAGTACTCGGAGATATTGCAACGAGTAAAGCAGCAAATACCATCGGAGCAGGCCCGTGATTGCGTTGAGAGAATCCGCAAAACGGCTACAGGAGACATGCTAATCATCCTCGCGAAAAACAGAGGACAAGGCAGATGCCCTACGTGGGGCGATAGCCAAGCTCCTCGGAGACGAGGCTGATATCCTCAGCAAAGGGCCACAAGAGGATCTCGAGATCAAATATCTCGATTAACTGACCACGAAGAAGGAAATGCTCCAAGAGCTGCAACTCGCTGTTGGTGCGGACTGCCTACATCCCCCCAGATGCCATCAGGTCTCTGCGGAGGGCATATGGCGGTACCCAGACTGCATCGTTGACAGTGCCTGCAGTGGTCGCGAAGAAAGTCCTGGGTTATCGAGGCGAGATTCTCGTAGGATGGGTCAATTGTCGGATTCGGACGGTGGAAAGACTGGTCAAGTATTACAAGTGCTGGCACTATGGGCATCTCGCCATCAAGCGTAAGAGTGGCGTGAACCGAGCGAAACTCTGCACCAAGTGCAGAGAAGCTGACCACAAAGCTGCTGCCTGTGAGAAGGAAGCTCACTGTGCCTTGTGTGCTGAGAAAGATCAAACGAAGTATTGTGCCCATATTGCTGGTAGCAACAGATACCCTATCTTTAGGGAAGCACTTCAGAAGGTGAACAACAAACGATAATGCGGATACTACAGCTCAACCTCAATCATTGTGAGGCCGCGCACGATCTGCTTATGCAGACCGTGCGGGAGCTGAAGATCGATCTGTTGATGATATCGGAGGCATTGAGACATCTGAGCACTCAACCCTGGGAGACGGATAAGAGTCGCAAGGCCATCATCTGGTCCTGTGGCAAGTTTCGGTTTCAAAGTGTTGCGAATACTGAGGAGGCTGGCTTTGTGGTCGTTAAGCTGGAAGGAATTCATTTCTACAGCTGTTACGCTCCACCAAGCCTCACGTTCGACGAGTTTTTGGACTTCCTGTACAAACTGACTGAGGATGCGAAGCAGCACTTTCCCGTGGCAATCGCAGGGGACTTCAACGCTTGGGCAGTTGATTGGGCGAGCAAAGAGACCAAAGCAAGAGGGCAAACTCTATTAGAGGCCATGTCATCATTGGACGTTGTCCTGCTCAACAATGGTGATAAACCCACGTTTGTGAGAGGAGAGAAGAGCTCAATTGTAGACCTAACCTTCGTTAGCAGTAACCTCGTGAGAGGAAACTGCTCCTGTGAGGTATGGGAGATCTACACCACCAGTGACCATCGAGCAATTTTCTGGGAGGTATCCGCTGGTCGAAGGATTTGACCAACATCGAAGAAGACCAACGACATCGGCTGGAAGGTGAGCACCTTTGATCTTAGCTCATTCCTAGTGGCACTAGACGATCACTCGATAAGTGGTAGAAGTGCTACGGAGAAGGCTGAGTATCTCATGAGAAGAGTTGGCGGGGCCTGTGATACCTCCATGCCTCGTAAACGCACTGGAAGCCGTCTGTCTCTGGTGCACTGGTGGAACGATCAGATCGCCGCTCTTCGAGAGAAGTGCGTCAAGGCTCGAAGGTCTTCGCAGCATGGTTGGAAGAAACCGAACTCTGAGGAACTGGAGATAAAATATAAAGATGCACGTCGAGAGCTCAACAAAGCGATCAAGGACAGTAAGAAGCAATGCTGAACTGGACTCCTGGACGAAGTCGAGGGTAATTCGTGGGGCAGGGCCGTACAAGGTGGTCATGACGCGACTGAAAAGCCAGCCAATGCCATCGCCGACATGCCCCGAGCTCCTGAAGAAGATTCTAACGGCGTCGTTCCCTCAACAATCGGAACTCCACCAGTCCGCAGAGCATTCCGTCGAACCATCGATCCCACCATTTACAGAGGAACAACTGAAGGAAGCCTGCGGCAGAGTGGGGAACACCAACGCTCCTGGCCTTGATGGAATCCCAAACATTGCGCTGAAAGCAGCGATCAATGCAGTGCCAGGATTGCTCCTGGACGTATACAACGCATACCTGGAGGAAGGCACTTTCCCCGCCAAGTGGAAGCAGCAGAGGCTAGTGCTCCTCCCGAAGGGGAAGAAGCCACTGGACGAACCATCATCTTATCGTCCACTCTGTATGCTTGATACAGCTGAGAATATCCTCGAGCGTATCATCCACAGAAGGATAGAAGCAGCAGTAGAACCGCTGCTAGCCGATAACCAATACGGCTTCCGAACAGGTCGCTCTACTCTCAACGCCATTGACCTCGTCGTCAACACCGCCAAGGAGGCGATCTCTGGGACAAGATGGAGAGAAGGTACGAAGAAGTACTGTCTAGTGGCGACGCTAGACATTAAAAACGCCTTCAACTCAGTCAAGTGGGACTGCATCATGAAGGCTCTCGAGACGATGAACGTACCAGGATATTTGCGAAGAATGGTAGCCAGCTACTTCACCAACAGAATTCTGAAGTATGACACAGAGAGTGGCCCCAAAGAGTATCAAGTCACTGGAGGGGTGCCTCAGGGCCCGGTGCTGGATCCTCTTCTGTGGTACATCATTTATGATGGACTGCTGAAGGTAACGTTACCAACTGAGACGAGGCTCGTCGCGTTCGCGGATGACGTGGCCGTAGTAATTGTCGCTGGGCACCTGGAAGAAATCAACTGATATATTTTATGTGACCTCCGGGAGGATACGTCGGTGGATGGACTCAGTTGGCTTGAAGCTGGCGGAGCATAAAACAGAAGCAGTGCTCATATCGAGTAGGAAAAAATAGGAGACAATCACACTGCGAGTCGGTGACTATGAGCTCACATTCCAACCGTTCGTTCGGTACTTGGGAGTGATGATCGATGCCAGACTCAGCTTCAAATAGCAAGCAGAACACGCGAGTACCAAGGCGTCGGGAGTAAGAACCATTCTATCTCGACTTATGCCTAATGTGGGAGGACCGAAGCAGAGGAGAAGAGCCTTGTTGTCTTCAGTGATCACGTCTGTCATCACGTATAGCATCACAATTTGGGGAGATACATTACAGTTGCAAGAATCACGGCGGAAGACAGCACCAGTCTGCAGACTGAGTGCCCTGAGAGTTGCCGACGCGTACTGTACAGTGTCTGCGGATGCAGTGTGTGTGATTGCAGGGATGCTGCCCATCGAAGTACTAGCTGAAGAGCGAAGGCGTCTCTACTGGCGGAAAGGACAAGCCACAATGAACCCAGAAGAGCTCGAAATAGAAGAGACAAAACAGCATACGCCGATGGCAGTTGCTTTGAAATGACTCGACCAAAGGGAGATGGACTCATCGTCTTATCCCGCAGGTAGGCGTTTGGCTGAGCCGCACACACGGAGAGGTCAACTATTAGTTGACACAGATGCTCTCTGGTCATGGGTGTTACCGGGAATATCTTCATCGCTACAAGCATGAGGACTCCTCCGAATGTCCAACCTGCACAGGAGTGGATAAAACCGCGGACACGTGTTTTTCATGTGCCCGCGTTTTACCATTGCCCGCAGTAGATGGGAGACTGCGCTAGGAGGAAAGGTTGTACCCGAGCACATGGTCAGTGCCATGCTCTTATCGGAGGCCATTTGGGAAGCAACTAGTTCCTTCACCGCAGAAGTCCTGAGAGAACTTCGCTGTGAACAGCAAGAGCGCAAGAAGAACAAGTGATAAGAAAGAATCATTGACTTCAACCACCTGAAGGCAGAGCTACGGCTATATCCTCTCCTCCGTGACGTACTGCCTAGCGGCGGTTCCGCGGAGGGTACAGAGTTTGATGAAAGAGGGGTTTTAGTCGGTATGGGGTATCCGAGCCCGACATACCATGCAGAACATCATACCCTGACGATACGTAAAGAATATTTTCCCCTCTAGGGACAAGCCGGCCGCCGCAGCATGCGACTGGTCTAATGCGACTGGGTTGGATGCGTTCGGTGAATGTTTCAATGAGTTAATTTTCCTTTCTGTTTCTACCAATGCGATTGGTAGCAAGCTTCCGAATAGGATTTATAAAAATTCAATGTTTATTTTTATATTCAAATCATTGTATACTAGGAAGTAGTAGACCGATCGAGCTGAAATTTTTCACGGAAGTCTAACATCACATTTCTGACTAGTGGTCAAAGTTTCAAGTGCTTTCTCCGACCTTTCCGCATATTAGAGTACCCACAAACAAATTTCAAATTTAAAAAATGGAAAAATGGCAATATCTCGATAACTTTGTATCGGAGTGTATGTAGGGGAAGGTAGGGCAAAATGGCCCACCATCCTGTACAGCCTAGTTATGACTGATGTTTTCATGCGAAATATTTGCATTTGATGTAAAATATTTCCCAAATATGATTTCAATCGATAATTCGACGATTCGATCCAAGAAACAGAACAGTGGGCAAAATGGCCCACTTCATAAAAAAAAAAAATTTCAAATGAAAATTTTTCAGACACCAATTTTACATTTGCTTTGGTCATAACCGATGTCTACTTGTATTTAATTCATTAATATGCCCAATAACTCTGCGAACGCGGCTCCAGAAGTATTGAAAAGGAAAAAATCGATAGATTTTTATTTTACGCGTTATGTAAAATCAACGTGATATTATTTCAGTTTTCGCGGTTGATGCAAGCTCTCGCACGGTGTCCCCGGGCCTATGGCCTCTGAACCCTGGAGTTTTTTCTGAGGAGGATTATATGCCTGCAGAAGTCACGAATCGTCCCTTTCCTGCCTCGGACCAGGGGCTTCGAGGAAGTCCTCTGCGTGCCCACCTTAGCCCCAACCCCGAGCCAGAAGCAGTGCTGAGATCACATGAGGTTGCCTCAGCTTCATCCGAAGGATCCGATGGATCAACAGTAGATGGCAAAAGTTTTGATGAACTAGAACATTCATTCAGTGATCTATCTGTCAGAGGAGGAAATGATGTCGAGGACAGGCGAATATTTCCAACACCAAACCGTTGCAAACCTGGCCGCCAGAGTGATATCTATGATGAGGAAACCACTCCGATAAAAAATATTCTTCAAACTACCCTGCCCCAAAGATCACCGAGCCCAGAACTCCAACCCCGACTTTTTCCACTGCTGCTGAGATCCATCATGAACCCCAACAAGCACGCATTCCAATACTGGATTCCATGGACTATTCCCCTCGGGAGAGACACCAATTTGAGAGATTATTGAACCCTCAATCCGAACTTAGGAAGAATATCGGAAGGATATCGTTATTTGATATTCTCTGTGTATATCTATAATTTTTTTCTATTTTCGAAAAAATTTCCAAGTGGGCCATTTTGCTCTCTCCTCCCAAAATTCATCTTAACACTACGGAATATTATGTGAAAAATAGAAAAATTAGGAATTTTGGAGTAATTTAACATTTTCTTCCATATTTTTTATTTTTTAGTTTTTCAAAAAAAATGGAGGTGGGCCATTTTGCCCGCACTGGGCCATTTTGCCCTACCTTCCCCTATATTTCAATTGCACTCAATAGAAGATAGCGTCACGAGTCTTTTGAAAAGAAAAACTAGGGGTGCGGCTGGTCTACACAATATTGTTGGTCGCTCGCAAGCTCGCTCCCAAATTGGGGTACGTTAGAATGGGAGCGAACCATTGACGTTCACAACAAAAACTTCCCGGTTTTCAAACCCCAATATATACCATAATTTTTTTTTTTCAAATTTAGTCTTCGTTTTTCAGTTTTTTTTGAAAAAACTAAAAAACTATTCGATCGATTCCAGCAAAAATCTAATCAGGTTGAGAATTCATGGAGATGCATCGGTTGAAAAAAAAAAAGTCAAATCGGACTATTCTATCGCGAGAAATCGTTGCCGAAAAAATGTGTCCCATACAGGGAACATACATATGCACACACACACACACATAGATACAGACATTTTTCTGAAAATGGTCCAGAAAGATTGTAGAGACCTTGAAATGTGAAGATGTGTTGAAAAATTGATTTTCGATTTTCGGGGTGATTACAATAACTTCCCTAACCCGGCATGTTAATAATGGAATCGGTTGGGTAGTTCTTGAGATATTCAATTAAACAGTTTTACCGAAAAACATGAATATCTCCGGAACTAGCGGACCGATTGCGCCTAGTCACAATAGCAGCCTGCGATATGATCAGAGCTACAATTTAAATGCAAGGTTGAAGTCTCTATCTCGATTATTTCTGGAGTTATTGCGCGAACAACAATTGTAAGAAAAAAAAAAAGGAAAAATGGGATTACTGCCAAACTCAGTACAGTGAGGCATATATACACTGATCGCATTAAATGAAGATTTCCGTGATGAACATTTCTTTCGCAGGTCAAATTGAAATCGGTTAGGTAGTTTTCATGATATTTGCAAAAAACGAATTTTAAAGAAGTCGTCATATCTCAGAAACTACTGGACCGATCGGGCTCATCCGGTGCCCAGAGGTGTATCTCAACAAGACCATTCATGCGTCAAAATACGAAACTTTTAGCGATTATTTCACTCGTTTTTTGTGCGAATTTATGAAAATAAAAACGAACACACATACATACAAATACACAGACTGAGCGACATTTGGTAAAAAAATCATATCTCCACGTTTCATGGCATTTCATCATTTCCAGGTAAAATTGGAGAATCCTGAAATTGGGTGTTTACAAGGCTTTCATTCGGAAGCAAAACACACACACACATTGAAAATGGCCCAAACTGCTTGTGGCAACCTTGAAACGTGAAGATATGATGAAAATTCGATTTTTGATTTTCGGGGTGATTACAACAACTACCCTAACCCGGAAAGTTAGAAAAAATCATTGTGAAATTCGGAGGCGTACTCACGCTATACCTGAGTATACATTTCAGCCTGTACTATAGCGCATGTAACATGTGAAGATGTTCACTCCACCAGCGGTTAATTAATTGACAGTTGAAAAACTGTCTGTGTATAACGTCGCGGAAAAATACACATCATGTCAAATACAACATGCATAATATACCATTCACAACAACCAAGTTTGTGTTGGTTTCGAAACATCTCTCCCCTGTATATGCCATCGTTTGCGAGATAACGTGTTTCGAAACGATTAGATAATTTATAACAATTGAATCGCTCATCTTGCACAAGACTCACCGACAAATCCAGAATCAGCGCACCTAAAAACGTAAGAGTCACCTAAATTACCTCGGAGACTATGAAAATTTTACAGAGAAAAATGCATGGGTGGAACGACTGATGTTATTTTGCTGATAATTTGTTGATAAACTGCACCACACAATTGTATCAACTTTTTCTTCAAGCTCCCGGATAACTCTTGCCGCAAATTTGCAGCAAATATCTCTGATAATTTCACTGCATAAAAGTTTTAGTCCCAACAAATATGATTTTTTTTACTGCAAATTTACGGATAATTTCGCTGTAGCGCTGACAATATCTGAAATTATTTTTTTTTGTGTACGAGAATACCAGAATTTGTCGTTATTTTGTAGCTCATTTGTTGATTAATTCTGACGCAAAATTTCACCAACTTTATCTCTAAATTATCGGATAATTCCAATCGCCAATTTGCCGCAAACATCGCTGATAACTTAACTTTGTAAAAATTTTAATATCAGCTAAATTAGTCGTCATTATTTCGACAAGATGCTGTTGAATTATTAGCCAATTTGCTGATAAAACATTGATTGATTTACTCATAATTATAAACCATCGGTAAATTTTGCTATGTGGGTAGTAACTTTTGGATTCCCATTATACGATGAAAATTTGATTGTTTTTACTTCATTTGATTGAAAATTTCTAGGTTTGATGCCCAATTTGGTGATTTCTGAAATGATTTCCTTTTGTTTTTAATTTTTTGATGTGGTTTATTGCAGGTTGTATATTCCTGTCTCAGAGCGAGAGGGAAAGAGAGAGCGAGAGAAAGATAGAGATGTATCAAAGTCATCTGATTGTTTCTTATGCTGAGTGGCACCTCAGTCGAGTTTCAGGGAATTTCCGATACTCTAGTATCTTAGTGTTTTCGGCACTAGTTACTCTAGGGGAAATCTAGTAACATGACTTGTTACTAGACAGTCATGTTTTGCATCGGATTTTTGTGTTAAGTGCAATTGTTATCGTCTCAAAATTATTTCTAAATGTTAGGCTGATTGATTCTATTTTGTTTCAGTTGTCGTGCTATTGGGGAGATGGGATATTCTCAAAGGTGGATTCCAGTAGGAAGAAAATGTTCGAATTATTCCGACGGGGAAATGCGTGATATCCCTCAGAAGACTGTTCCGATAAGTAATCATTTCACGATATT